TATTAAGATTTAAATTCACATGAAATTTAGTTGATGTTTATCAGTAAAACTGGAAATTCGCCTCAAGTTTTGTTAAAATATTATTGATTTTTTTTATCCTGCCAAGTGTTTATTTCGTGTTTCAAACAAAAATGACTATATTTAATTTTTTTTTTAAATCTTTTTTTTCCATGATCTGAGAATTATTATAATAAACAGAATCGTCTAAATATATTAATTATTTATATGGACTGTTTTGTACTTAGGAGCCATCCTGTATACTGGACAATTGATTTGAGGACCAATGGTGACTGAAGTTTTATCAAAATTAAATTTAAAACTATAATATTTTTATAGTTATACAACTATATAGTTGTATTGTTGGATTTTTTTTCTGATCATGATAAGGTTTGCTGGTTTTAAGGTAATTCTGAGTTTTATATGCAAGAGAATTGAAATTATTGTGTATTATATAATATTTATCTTGAATTTCCATAGTTAAATATTACATATTGCATAATTTGTTGATGCCAAAGTTACCTAATTGGTGATGCTGTTGTGGTAACCAGTTGTATTTGTTTATATTTATATCGGATTGGTCTAATACCGGTAATATTTCGAGGCAGTTTTGAGTATTCTATTATTCATTTTTTTTTTAAACAAAATTGCTATTCATTTAATAACTATTTTATAAAATAATAAGAGATGCGTGGTAGTCCTGATTCGAGTCTGTTAATTTACCCAAGGTATTTTTGGATACAAGGCTATTTCTGGAAAATGTTTTATCACAGAATACAGCGAAAAATAATTGATCCCACCTCATATCTCCTTACGTAATTTTGGTAAACAAATGTGTTGTTTTTCATTACTGGCATACATTAGTCCATGAAACTGTTTCACTAACAATTTAAAATAAATTGAGGATTATGAATAACAGAATTTAAAATGGACATATGTATGTTCAAAAAGTAGTTCCGTTTGATAAATAAACTGTATATAAAGTATATGAAGGTTTTACCGAACGTTTGTGACTGTAATCAACTATTATATAATACGAACTCTTCACCATGGAAAATACTGACCACATGTATCGAAGCAAACATTCATATTAAAACATTAAACAGTAATATTCATTTAACCATTTTTGTGATTTTTTTCGGATTTGTTAAAATTATTAATGGCTTAGACAGTGAATTTATTGATTTTTAATAAGCTTTCTTTGTTCAGATTATAAAAAAAATATGTTTCTATATTTAATCAGCGATACGGGCTTCTTTCTAGGCTGCTTGACAGAAGTTCTAAATGATCTGTGACTAATAAATTAACTATTTACAAAGTCCTCATTAAACCACTTTGGACATATGGAATCGAACTAAGGGGAACAGCAAAGACATCAAATATAAAAATCATCCAGTCATTTTATTCAAAAGTCCTTCGAAAAATTGTAGACGCACCCTTTTATGTTTCAAACCTTACGTTACACACTGACCTTAACAGTCCTTTCATCACGGCAACTGCCACGGACCGCTTTAGTAACTTTCAGGACAGACTAACTCTAAATTCAAATCCACTTACTCAAGCTTTATCTACTGCCATAAATCCATATATTCTGCCCAGAAGATTACTGAGGCGCTGGTCAAGAGACTTATTGCATTGAGCTACTTGCTGTATTATCTTTTTTGTGAGGGTTATTATGTTATCTTATTTTCATTTTTTTTTTGTTTATTTTGTTATTATTATTACTTTTTTTTGCTATATTTATTCTCATAGATATCATATTTGCTGAATATCGAAGTAGATGGAAAATTTATTGTAAGCCAGGAATAATGTATAAGTAATAAATAAATTAAAAAAAAATTCGATTTTCAGGAATCATCAGTGATGGTTACCGCTACAGACCTTCAATTGTATTTTTTTTTTAAATTCTGAACGTTTCTTTGAAAAAAAAACATAGTAATTTTACTTAGAATCCAGTATAGCTTTAAGAGGATTGCCGGACTATCAGCGAGCGGAAGTAGAAGAGTGGGCGGAGTAAGGGGTTTCTTCTCGTTGCCTTTGATGGATGGGAATTGCTCTTTCTGTTCTAGCCTGCGGTATATTCTCAGCCGGAACAAAACGCCCTACTTCTAAGACAAATATCTTGAAATAAATTTCCAGTTTTATCTCTTTCATACTCTTAGATAGGAAGAAATATTTATAATTCCAATCAGAACATACCCTACAATTTAACTAATGGTACAATTAAAGATGAGTATCAAGTATACACGTAAGGATCAGACAAGGCCATACAAAAAATAAATAAAGGGAAAATTATTTCGAATTACAAGGAAATCAGGTTTAATGGTAATTTCTGAATATCCATTTTTGTGCAAAGAGGCATCTTACATTAATTTCAATTGCCGTGTATCCTCTCCATAGCTGCTTGGGCCCCAGGAGATTATTCTGAACCCTATGTCAAGTTATGTCTGCTATCATCAAATGGTAAGGCTTTAATGTTTTTCTTTTCTTTCAAATGTCAAAATCCTGAAATTATTATTAACCATTATCTTCATATATTATTTCTCATAAGTGTTTTTGTCGGCATATCTCCGTCAATTTCCTATCGAATCCAAGGATTGAGCCTCCATTTTGAAGATCGAAAAAATAATCACATACTCCAAAATATTAGAAAAAAAAATTATTTGGAAATGACTAAAAAAGTAAACATTTTTTTGATGATTGTACCCATTATTATTAAATACCGTCGAATTTGTAGATTTAATGCAATATATACGAAGAAGCAAAGTGGTTTAAAACATTTTTTAAAGGAGAAACAGAGTTGAAATTCGTATTTCGAACTTCAAAAAACTCTCAAATACAAATTTCCGTGGCAAAAGAAAATTAAAATTTTTGAAAGATTACTAAATTTCCTAAAAAATAATCTTGTATCAAAATTGTATTTTGACCATTATTAGCTGAGACACAGAGTATTGTAATTCCTAAACATTTTGGTTTTAAACATTAATGAAATTTTGTAATAATTTTCTTTTCCTTGGACGATTACAATTACCAAAAATGATTTCTTCATCTTAGAATACATCGACTTTTTTAATTCCCTTATAACTTTGCAATTTGTTCACTAGCCAATCTTCTTTGCGAATCATTCCCACCGGCCAAGTTGTACTTAATAATTTGTTTTGCAATATGCGGATATATGGCCTAGAATTAAATTAGGATTTCGATCCCAACATTCCACTATCCAACAAGGACTCCGAGTTGTTGACCATATATCCTCAGCCCTAGAAAAAAAGTAATGTTCGGGTGCATTTAATGACATAGCTCAGCCTTTCGACCGAATGTGGTACGCCGGATTGCTCTTCAAGTTTAACTCCCATCTATTACATAGTCTTTATATCTAATTCTTCGATCCTACCTCTCTGACTGCTCCTTTCAAGTTCGCTGTGGTACTAAATTCTCCGACTGTTATTCAATTGAGGCGGGAGTTCCGCAAGGCAGCATCTTCAGTCCCATCATTTAATTCTTTTTACAGTTATCATTTATATTCTTTTTACCACAGATATCCCTGACCATCCCGATACCCTCCTGGCAACATTCGCCGATGATACCGCTGTCCTTTCAACCAACTCAGATCCTAAAACAGCGTCATTTAATCTACAAATGCACCCATCTCTGATTGAACACTGTAGTACGAAATTGCGCATTAAGATAAATGTTTCCAAATGTAAACACATTACCAACACTCTTTGTCGTAAAACACCACCCAGCTTCCTTTCTCAGATACAATCCGGTATCTTGGCTTTCTCTTAGACAGACGACTAACGTGTAACCCTCATTCTAGACTTAAAAGACAGGGACTTAACCGACGATACGGCCAGCTATATATACAGACTACTAAATAGAAAATCTAAACTTTTTATTGAAAACAACTTACTGATCTACAAGAGAATAATGAAACCTATTTGGACTTACGGACTAGAACTGTGATGGGCAGACAATTTTTCTAGCGTCAAAAGCATCTTATCTTTCAATCAAAAATCCTTCTGACAATAGTCGATGCTCCTTTGCATGATTTAATAAGATAAAAATTCTCATTTGATATGTGGTATGCGATCATTTATCAAAATCTCTCTTTAGAACACGTTTTCAAATTGTGTTATTATTGTAAATCTGAACGCACCATAAAATTAAATCTAAAAATCATCCTGGAAGAAAATTACATTGTATTTTAAGTGAAGCAAATAGCTTGTGCTTACAAATGAAGAAAAAGGGCCCAAAAATATTTTAATCTACCAAAAAACTCTATTCTCGAACATTAAACAATAACTCTCATCAAAAACTGATGTAGATAAAAAAACGCTTGGAGATAATCATTTAATGAATTATCTGTGGATAAAAAATAACATTAATAAAATGAAGACTTTTTTATTTGATTGAATGCTGCCAAACGTAATATTTTTCAAACAGTGACGAAGTTGCCCTATTTAACAATGTTATCCCAGTTGTGGGCATAGCAGAAAAATGTTTTCTCTCACTAAACGATTATTGAAATCGGGCTAAGACTTAGGTAGTTCAGGGCCTTACTCATTGGGCAAACTTAATCATTCCATATCCTAGGTTATATTTTCAGATTCTAATGTAAATAGTCTATTTGGAGTTAAATCGATGATGAAATAATTTCTGAGTTTAAATGCACACCATTCATTATAATAATCGATAAATAGACAGTATTCATTATACAAAATGAAGTGATACGATTAAATACAAAATAAAAAAATAACATGTAGGCAGCACATTGAAAGAAACAAAAGAACAACGAATTATGAATAAATACATATTGAATTAAAATTATTCGCAAATATTTATATAATATTAAATAATGCTTTTAATCCGATGAATGAAATGATGTAATGGTCATGTATGCTCCAACATATTTAGGTATAAGTTGGGAATCGGAATTCTTGATTTACTTTCGCATTAGCATTAACGGTATCCGTAAGGAACACAGAGATAATGAGAAGAGACTACTCACCCTTGCCATAGCCAATTGGGGGCTGGAGGACTTGGAGGGAGAGGCTGGTCACGTCGACATTGGCTGTAGACACCCTGAAGTTGAAGCCTTGAGAATATTGCGGATCCGTGGAGCTCCGGACGACGCTGGTCCTTTTCACCTTCACTGTGTTCCAGTGCTGATTCAGGGTTAGCCTCACGAAGGTCTCGTCCTTACAACCTTCATGCAGCTGCAATAAAAAAAAAAAAAAAGTGTAATATTAATAATATAAAATAATTTAAGATTTAATAATTAGGAACATTTTTTCTTTTTCTTCGCTTCCTCACATTTTCGGCTATACGGGGTTTTTACCGAGCCTGAGGAGAGGGTAGGGGAATAATACCAGAATTAAGAGCGCCCTGCAGTGGGACTGAAACTCGTAATCTTCAGTGTAGCAGATTGCCTGGTATTGTGTTCTCTGCCCACACTTTAGCTTGCTCATCCACTCCACCTCTAATTTTAATTAGAAACGTGTTAAATAAAATGTTATTCGCGGTTTCATGTTTCTTAAGTTAGCGTAAACGACATGAAAATACTTAAACGTATATTTAGTTCTTTCTGCTGACTGACTTCCTTTTGCACTACATAGTCTAGGTAAAGAAACTTAGAGTTGTCAACTTCTTCTTCTTCCGTGGCTCTACAGCCCTTGTAGGGCCTTGGCCTTCACAACAACGCCTCTCCAATCCTCTCTATCAGCGGCTTCTCAATTGCCCAATTCCCATATTCTGCAAATCATCCTGCACATCATCAATCCATCTAAGTCTGGGTCTTCCTCTCCTACTTTTGTCTCCTGGTTTACCATATAATTATTTATTTACCATATAATAGTCTCTTTGGGTATCGATCTTCACCCATCCTTTCTATGTGGCCAAGCCATCTTATACAGCTTGATCTAACGTAAGTGACTATGTCTGGTTCTTAATAAAGTTCTTGGAGTTCTCTTTTATTTCTTATATTCCATTGGCCATTTATAGATATCGGCCCAAAGATTTGCCGAAGAGCCTCCGTGAAAGATTTCGAAAACGCAATGTTTCCCTTGATGCAAAAAGACATCTGTTGCCTGCAGTGATTTTTTTTTCTTTTTTCTATTTTTTTTTTTTTTTTTTTAGTGAGAGAGAGAGAGAGAGAGAGTTATGAACAGAGCCAGTCGTCAAGTCGACACACACACACGTATATATATATATATATATATATATATATATATATATATATATATATATATATATACAATAACACAATAACATACAATTTTTTCAGATTGATTGACGCTCATAGTTATGGCTCCATTCCTATTATTAAATTAAAACTTAGGTTAATAATTTCCATTGATTAATAATGATAAATATACATCTTTGTCCCAGAGCTAAAGACCACCATGTCGATTTTTTAGTTTTGTACGTCGGAGGTAAAGAACACCATGTCCATTTTTGTATTTGTTCTGGGGAGGCAATTTTCCATAACCTTGAGCTATCAAAATTTGTTTCTTATTTACATCTTAAGGACATGGTGTCCTATACCCCGGGACACAGAATTAAATTATTTAGTAACTAAGAAACTGAAGTTACGGAAAATTGGCTCTCTGAACAAATACAAAAATGTGTCATGGTGTTCTTTACTTCCGGAGTACAGATATAGTAAGACAATCGATGAAGGTTTCTCAAGAAATTTTGAAAAGTTTTAACTTAGAGTTGAAATTTTTTATTTGTTACCACATACCATATACAATTATATTAATTGAGGTGCATTGGTGGAAAGAAATAACTTATTTAATATAACCTTATTATATAAAGACCCATGGCTATATTAATCGAATTACTAGCGTTTCCTACATACAGAAAAATCAGGCAAAATTTTAAATTATCGACGACATATCTATTGACATATCTGACGACATAAAAGAAACAAGACATTGAAGAGAAAATCGCCACTCTATTTAAAGAAATGGAAACAAGTGGAATATAAAAGAATAATTTACTGCCCATGACGTTCTCGGATAGAGGCGAATACTAATAAAAAATTATTGGTAAAAAAATATGACGACGTAACAAGTTATGAATTTATATGATTATATTAGCAGCGATAAAAGGTGATTTTTTCAGCTGTGGCAATGTCTGTTATTGATCTGTTGTGGTGTCCGTTTATATTAGTACAAAATCTTTGGTAAAGGGCAATTATATATTAGTTGACTGTTAGAAGGTGGAGGTCAGGATGCAGAGTTTTGTTAGTCACGTACCATGGCGCTTTTGTTATGAGTCACTATAATTTTGATTGGAAGGTTTGAAGTTTTTATAGGTGGGTCTTTTTAGCGATACCGTTTGTTTGCGATGAGTATGTTCATATGGTTTCATTAAGTAAGTATATGTATTCCGTTTATTAAGTGTCACGTTTCATTTTTACATGCGAGCTCCATGTCTTCCTTCGATGACCACGTCGAAGGTGAGTCCAATGTAAATTACCTTGTCCGTTGGGAATTGGATTGTTGTCCATGTAAACTGGAGGGCAGGTGTTTCTTTCTAAGAATAAAACGTTCTAATTTTATATTTTTAATACAAATTTAAAATTGTATTATAATATATATGAACAAATGTTAAGATAAATTATTATAAAACGAATAACTAGTAAACATATATGTAATAACAGTAATTATATTGTAGAGATTTCCTGATGATGGGACAGTCCCCCGAAACGACGACTTTGTTAACAAATCAAAGAAAAAATGAAATAATTACACTTGGAGAAAAATGGACTTTTATAATCTAAAAAAAAAATTATTTTTAAGTGGATAATATATAACGACTTTAACATATTTATCTACGCTATTTTCATCAATCTAGTGTACATGTAACTCAAGAATTTCATTTGGTTGCGAAATTAAACAGTAATGGCAAAATATCTACAAACGTGTATTTATTTTTAAACGGAAAACTTTAGAGAATGTTAATAAAGAAAAGTCGCTCTTCTTTAAATTACATACAAAAAATTGTTGGACATCCATTGACACAGCCCATTTATTTTCAGCTTGAGTCTGAAAGAGAAAAACAAACTGTATTAATTAAGAGAGCTCTCTGGGACCGAGACAACGGAAATATCGTTGACCATGGCCGCTCAGAGGTATTTCCGTGTGTGGGTATCTAAAATAACGAGTCGGTAGAAGACAAAAACTACCAGCAATCCCATAGATCACAAGCTATAGGAAACCGAAATAGCCTACTTGGCAAAGGCGCAGTTTAATCTCCTTTATGAATGATCCCAGCTTGTTCAATGGCATCAGCTTCAGTAATGTCCCACGCATGGCTATCCATGTCGGATCTCTTTGCTAATATTAGGTTCCAGGTTTGAGAGATTGTCTGAAATGGGATCTGAACATTCTTTATGTTGAAATGTCTTGCGAAGACCATACAGGATCGGTAACTGCCTTGTTGGTGGTTGCTTTAATGAGATTTATGCTGGGATATTCGAAAAGTAAACATTATTATTTTTCTTAAATGGGCAAACAGCTCGAAAGGAGACGTTGTAAATAAAACAATCAAAACTATTGAGGCATAAGTCTCAAAGATACTAGGGGAAAGTTAACTTGCTAAAGTTTCGCTAATTCGGACATTACCAGGGCAGAAACAAGATGACATATATGCGGAAAGAAAGAAAGAAAAAAAAATACCTTTGATATTGACATGTCATCAAGCTATCCAAATACATACTAAAGGAGAGGCGAAAGTAATATAAAACAACTGATAAACAGGGATAAAAGGGAAAAAAATTCATACTTAAAATATAATAATACAAAAATATGTTAATAAAATTAAAAAAAAAATAAGAAAAAAATTAATAAATACAAAAAATAAAGAAATAAAAATTACATATATAAAAAAAAACAAGTAAACTTTAACAATGTTTCTTAGTTCAGTTTTAACTAATGTCAGGATAAACTATATTTATAAGCTGTATCAAAAACTGCCCTCGTAAAAAAAAAAACACATTAAAATTGTGCTTTTTCATGAAATAAAGGAATTTTCACAGAAAATAATAACAAGTATATGGTGTCAGGGGAGACGGAACTGGGAGAAGAAAAAAACAAACGAACAATTTGACCGCTTAATGGTGGGATTGTTTTCAGAATATCGTGTCATAACTGACAATGAAATATCCGTAGATCTTGCAGTAGCAATAAATAATATAAAATTTAATAAATTTTTTAATGGGTCATGCGATTTCCATGAAATCAATAGTTGATTTTGAAATTTACTCAATGTCAATATTGGCTAAAAAATATATTCTTTTTAAATATTGTTTTTCAGCCCACACTTTTCCTAATACAAATAACTTCTGGAATCACCATGATACTTAATTATTTAAAACCTTTTCTCTAAAATGAACTGAATTTCCGACCTTCGATCTTTAAATTCAACTACTGAAACACTATCTACTTATATTATTTAAAACAAAAATCGTTAACAAATGGTACCATTAAAATCTAAAAATCCTCGCTATTAACTGTAATGAAGTTTTTTAGATAATGTTTAATAAGATTTTACTAGATGCCAAGCATTACCAGATATTTCATTAGTAAATTTTTCTAATGTAAGTATACTTATTCACATTCATCGATTTTTGGTCAGTTTCAGAGTACGATGTTATGCATCTAGGTATGTAATATCTATATATGATAATTAAATACACTAATTTCATGTAAATGAGCTAATTATACTAATAAGAGTAGCTACGTACGATCAACGAGGACAATGAAATTATATTTGCATATAATTGAATATCTATAATATACCATTGGCCATCTTTTCCAAAAGGATAATGTCACCAATTTATATAGTTAAAATATATTATTACATTCATATGTTCCGACTTATGCTACATGATTTATTAGTTAATATTAATCTAGTTAAATATTACTTTAATTCAAAACATGTATTTATTAAAATAACATAAGCATTGATTGACTATTTTATATAGTTATAAATATATATATATATATTATATATATATATATATATATATATATATTATATATATATATTGAAACATAAACATCATATATATATATATATATAAATATATATATAATATATATAATTTAGATTTAGAACGACTTGTTTCTTAAAATTATTATAAACATTATAATTTACAAAAAAAATCCGACAATTGCTCATTACAAATTAAGTAAAATTATTCTACTGCATACATGAATAGTATATTAATAAAACACAGAAATAAATCTGTTTTCAACAAAAACACAAAGACAAATTTTTTAGAAATTGTTACAATAATTGATATAACTAGTTCGCTTTTAATAAAAAAAAAAAAACGTGTAACAAATTTTTAAAATATATAAAAACATGTGAATATAATTCTATCTTCCGGTTTGTTTATATTAATTTATTTAAAAAAAAAAATCCGCTCGAAAAAGTAATTTAAAAATGTTTATTTTGTATGCAATGAAAACCCACACAGTTTTCATATATGCATTACCCATAAAGTCAATATTTGGGTGTAATATTCGTACACATTGTCGGAAAATTTCCAAGTTTTCTGATTTAAGTTTAATACTGAGCCAGAACAAAGAGGAGAGGAATATCGGAAAACCATCACGAATCTGCCCTCTGTTGGAACGAACTACTCTTTCAGGGCAGTCGCTATGTATTCAAATCGTTTAGCATTGTCTGTACAAAATAAACGGATAGTTTTTTTTATGGTATTATAAAGTGTACAAAAAAATTTAGATTTAATAAAGAAATGAAATAGAGGGGAAATTCGTGATTTTTTTTACCTAATTACTTATTCGGCATAACCATAGAAAGTTTAAGCAAACCACTTAAAATCTTTAGATGAAGTTCAATGTAAAATACCATTATAAAATAAATAAAATTAACACTTTATTATGTTTATTTATCAAATTATATTTATATTATAATAAAACTGTTTAATATATACTATATATTTTTTATGAGAAAGAATTGGTCTGGGGGTGCGGTCATATAAATAATGATTTTTTTTTTTTAAATAGTATTTTTAATTGTTTCGCTGACGTTTCGACCCACCTTACTGGTCTTCATCAGGGCATTGCACCATGCACTGCAGGAAGCAGTTGATACACTCATAGATGATAGACTCAGTTGATACACTTTGAGTCAATCAACTGCCTGATGCGACGCCCTGGTGAAGATCTGCAAGGTGGGAACAATTAAAAATCCTATCTTTTAAAAATTTAGTATTTACTTGACCGCATCCTCCGACCAACTCCTTTTCATATTATATCACGGTCAACCATCTCTACATCATTATGCATTTTTTACTTTATTTTAATCTTCTGCTCCATTTGCGCATCTACCAAAATTTTATGTAACCTATTATTTTCTGCGATTTATTTAAAAAAATTTACATAGTTCAAGGAAGACAAATAGGTAAACTAAGCTAAGTTGTATTTTTAAAAATATCATGAACCATTCTCGATTTTTTTTCATCCTTTACATATACTACGCATACCGCATTTTTTTTTTAAAAACTGTCTTGTTTGATAAGTCCATATACCGTAAGATGGGATAATTTTCCGACTGGGTGGGTAACTTTGGGACAGCGCATAAAATTTAGTTTGTGGTGATTTCTATTTGGATACACTATGTTAGTTCAATCATCATGGACAGCGCATGTACTGTGCTTTTACCTTGTGGAAAACTAATCTTGGGGCACAAGCGAAATTTTCATGAAAACAAGAATTTTGAAAAAGCAATGGAAATAAGATAAAACCTTACTGCACAACGAGGGTAGTGAACTGAGGTTCTTAAAATATAGTAACGGGTGCATGCCTACAATATTGCCACAAACTAAATTTTACCCGCTGTCCCAAACTAAAAGTACCCGTGTTTTCAGCAAAAGTAACCGCAATGCTTTAGATTTTTTTTAACAATCTGGGATGTTTTGCAATAAACAAAAGTGCATCAATACTTATTTAGTTTACAAAAAAGGTAATGATTTTAAAAATATTAATCATATAAAGATATGATAATGAAACTGTGTTTTTTACACAAATCTCTATTCTAGCAATTGATCCGAATCTATACGTTACCAATTTAATGTCCCTAATCCTAAAATTTAGGTTTCCATGAAATGATACAAACTGTCATATATATAATAGTTATATAAATTACTAACATCTATGGACGCTCAAATTTTAGTTTCAATCTAATGTTTTGTTATAATTTAATGAAAGCTGTCAATATTTAATAGTTTTTACAATTCACTGCAACTGACGAAAAGAAAGAAAATATTTTTCTCTAGTTGACTCGTCCTCTGTAACATTAGCTCAAAATTTATTTTAATAGCATCAAAAACTGCCCAAAATATCCTGGAGAGACAGTGGCGTAAGTCAACTTGCCAATTACTGACGACTGAGACCCGTATCTGTGATCGATACTGACGGCTCTTTGGCGAGGAACTGCGTAAATAGTTGGCATTATTTTGTTCCACCGTAACAAATTACTCCTTAACGCCGCGAGCTAATTTTATCCCATAACAGAGCGTATAGAATTAACACAAAAGGGTCTGCCTTCATATGTAGGTGACAGTACTTTTATGGCAATCAAATAAAACTAAGAAAGTATATGAAAAAAATAATATATTTTAATGTGTCCAGGAGAGTCTATGTCCGGTTTGTGGGACAGAATAAATAAAAGGACTGAGATAATATGAGCTAACTGCCTTAGTCATTGAGCTACTTCGTTCCTCTCTAGCAAGATATAGATCGGTATACATGTTTACCATGAATCTATTTTTTATTTATATTCCTAAATAATACTTTAATTGATTGGAGATTATAAAAAAAAAGTTAATGTAGTAAGGTTGTGATTGAGACATCCAACATTGAAACATTCAACTGTATTAGAATTAGCAATAATGTATCCGAAAAGTTTGAATTTCTTTGTTGTTTAGAACAAAGTGATTCTCTTTCGTCTGCCTTATTTGTGCTATAAAGTTGTTAAAGAACTGGAGTCGGAAATAAATACGGACGAGAAAAAATATATGGATCCTAGCAAAAACGGTGGTAATGTCGGTTAACTTCATATAGAAAAGAATTGAAGAAGTTTAGGTATTTAGGACCTAACATAACTAGAATATAACGAAGTCAGAGGGGGAGTTAAGGGTAGATTTAAGTCGAAAAATGCTTTTTTTTTTTTTTTTTTACGAAACTATTTAGCTCGCGGCTCCTTTCCTGAAACTTTACAAAACAGTTATCCTTCCGACGGTTCTTTATGGATGCGA